CTCCCCCGGACCCTCCCCCTGGATCCGCCACTGGAATCTATTTATTTTTGGAGTCAAATTGTTCAAATGGTTAAATAAACCCTGTATCTGTTCATCCATACATCATTAGTAGGAACCAATCAAAATACCTGCATGATTCAGCCTATTATATAAATGATCTTTTCACACTGCACTATATAATTACATAATAAACGTATATAGAGGATATACATGACTACGCTTTCAAGTGTCTCTTATGGGTGAGAGAGGCGAATGAGTCAGCGATATCAATGCAAAAAAGATAAATTCGCATCCACAAACGTACATGTAATATTCTGTTTATGATATAAATATTAACCGCATTACCAAATCAAAGACAATTTTGAAACACCTTTTCAGAGGAATTCCAGTATTTCATCAATATCTTTACGATAGAAATCTCAATTCAAATTGTATAGCACTAGTTCTGTTTTCGCCGTAGTGTCTACTTTTTGCAGACTAACCTGAAACCCGCAAAACCACTCTCTAAAGGCGTTGACGTGTTCCTTTTTCTATTTCGTATTTCTGTATTTAGAGAAGGGTATTTCAACTAGCCTAACAAATGTTCTTGCATGGCCAAAACGTTGCTAGCCTTACCTTAGTATGGTAAACCTTTTCCGCCCTTTTGCCAAAAGAAATTTTTTTCCATTATTTTTCCACTTTGTGTTTATTGATAATTTTTAATCTAGCGCATTTCCTTTTCAGAATCATAGCTGCTTGTCCCTAGGAAATCTATCTAGTCATTGACGTGTTCCTTTTTCTATTTGGTATTTCTGAATAGAATTTAGAGAAGGGTATTTCAACTAGCCCTAAAAATGTTCTTGCATGGCTAAAAAGTTGCTGACCTTACCTTCCTATGCCGGATAAGAGAAGCGCTTTTTTCGCCCCTTTGCCAAAAGCAAATTTTTCCATTATTTTTCCAGTTTTGTTCATTCATAATTTTTTCCGTCCCATTTCCTTTTCGGAATCACGGCTGCTTGTTCCAAGGTAATCTTCCAAGGAAATCTGTCCATGGTTTTATTTAGTTCTCATCTGCAATGTGACTGACGCATGATGACAGTGTTTATCACCTATTCATTGTCGAAGTATGGATGTCTTTGGCATTCAAATTTTTGTCGGTGTTTGTGTTTCCACGAACTTAGCAAATTGATTTGGGACCTGCTCAGTATAGATCCTGACGATAGGGTCCTCTCTTTGGAAACTATGTTATTCGAGATTGTATCGGTTCAAAGTCGATTTATCTCAATGGATTTGAGGATTTTTAATTTTTTCAGCTGGGAAGTTTTTTGTGTGGAACTAGCAGGTTTTCAGGAAATATAAGAGTTTATTCGTTTCTCAACATTTTGATCTTTTCATTTTGACATATTTTCACTCGGTTTTTTTTCCTGTTTTAAATGATGTGTAAAGTCACTATGCCTCGAATCAAGTGAGGAGAGAATAACTATCCCACGACGCTTTGCGCTAAAACTTTGCGAGCGTAATTTCGTCAGTCAAAATGTGGGTTTTCCATTTATTTTTAGGTTTTCCATTTAAATGTAGGTTTTCCATTTATTTGGAATCTTTACTGAGTGTATAAATTTTTTGAAAAGTGTCTCTGTGACTTTAAATTAGGAGTTTTACCTTTAGCATTTCAATATTTTGGAAAACACTTGGTAAGAGGACATCATCATAAAGACAGCTTTTGGTCGGCTGGATATGGAAATATAAAGGTTAAGGTACATTTTACGTATTGTAATGTTAAAACTTTAATCTTAC